GCATGGCCGACTTCCAGAACACTTCCCCGCTGTCTTCTGGACGACCTTTCAGAGTGTAACCTTGGGGCGTGAGGCAGTGCCAGAGAAAGCTAACAAAAGCAAAGGCGGCAAACAAAGAACAGTAAACAAGGATTACAACAGAGCCTCAATGAATCAGAGAAAACCCTACATTGCATGCAAAGCATGAAGTAGCATTGTTTCAGATGATGTCTAGAAGTAAGGGTAAGATCTCTGTGGAGTGAGAAAAAATAAGAAAAAGATATAAACTTAATGAATTAGTTATTTTGAGCTTAAAGAGTGTACTTCGGAGAAACTGGACAACGCAGCACTGCTCTGAATTATTAATCGTGCCTTGAATTCTCAATGCCTGATTTATCGGTGGTCCACATCAATTCTCACACGGAGAGACTCAAGCTTTTCTTTTACACACAACTACACACACACACAGATTTTATGAAAAACAATACCAGTAGACGTATTGCCTCAGACCTCTGCAAGCATTCAGGCTTCAGTAATGAGCCCGTAAAATAATGTTAAGCTTTCTCTGCATGATATTTTCTTGATATGCCTCACTATTGCATCAGTCACGTCTGTGAGTGTGTAGAGCTGTAGCAGGACTCTTTGGCTCCACACCGACGCCACTAATGCATTGTAATGTAATGAAACTGCCATGGAGCCGCTGTGGAGTCCAGATCACCACCGAGGCTTTTATTTCACATTATGAGCCTCCCTCATCGCCAACGCCACTGGAAAGCAGTTATATTACGGTGTTGCTCTTTGCTTATAGAAGGTGCACTGAAACGCTGCCAGTGTTTATTTGAGGAGAGATGATTTCAGCGTTTAAGCAGAAACCAGGGTCATGTTGCTTTTTCCTGCCTCAATAGAGAGGGATTAAAAGAGACAGACAGAGGGAGAGTGTGACAGAAAGGACACCCACAATGAAGAAATATATGGCTTCGGTCCTTCTCTTCTGTCTTTTGCTATGTGGGGGCAGGACATCAGTGGCAGTAATGCATTCTGACTCCTACAATCACCGACTGCCAAAACCACCTACCGTTTCACCTCGGGGGGGTTGCATGGAAGAATACAATAAGCAAAACACAGACCATACTGGTTCAGCAAGATGGGTGGTACAAGCAGAATTGGAAATCAGCACCAGTGTCAGGCTGAATTAAACAGCTATCACATTGTCCTTTTCTAATCCTTAAGCTTGTACTCATGAAAGATCAGGCAAAACGAGTAACTCTGGGGTCAGTAGAGAATGAGAATATGCTAAATACTTAGCATCTCTCATGTTTAGCTGCAAGCCCAGAAGCAGGTTTCAAAAACATCACTGCTCCTACTGTTTTCCCACTTTTTGATATCAAACAAGGCTGTGGTATGTGAGGCAACAATTTGAATTACACAACAGAAGATAGAATAGTTAAATAGTTGAAAAATGGAGAGAACTGCAAATAGATCCTGAAACACTACTGGGGCAAAAAATGTCAAGTTTGCTTTGAAGGTAGCGCCAGAGGAATGGTCATTTTGTCAACCAAAGCGAGAGTTTGCTCTATTTGTACTGCCGCCATTTTATGAATGCCTTATAAACAGTCTTTATTGATGTTTTTATATCTTTGTGTTTCCTCTAACAGGTCAGCATCTGCTTGGAGTGCAACAGCAGCAAGCTTCGAGGTCTGAAGCGCAAGTGGATCCGCTGTTCAGCACAAGCCACAGTCCTCCACCTCAAGAAGTTCATCGCCAAAAAGCTTAACCTGACATCATTTAATGAGGTACAGATAATAACACGCTCCATCAGCCCAGAAAGAAGTGCACTGAGAGGGGACCATTGTAGTTCTGTCACAAGCTAAATGTGCTTCTAGTGAAGAGATAAGACTGTGAAACTACAGAGATCACAGGATAAACAAACAAATGCAAGCGAGTGATTCTTTTTTTTTTTCCTGCTTTACGCGAGTTCTCTACATTTTAACCTTTCAACTAACATTTGGCATCAGTCAGAATTGTTCCATTGCTTGAAGCTAGATTTAACCTGCAGGTCACACCTCCTACCATTCTGAAAAGGTCTGCAGTGCATATTCAAATTTTACATTAGTCTGCTGCACAAAGGGAAGAAATATGAAACGTATTAAATATTAGAAAATCACCTCAGCTCACGAATGATTCTTAATTAAAGGATCTTGACTGGGTAGAGGGACAATAGGAGAGTGGCCGAGGTGAAATATTGTTTTTTATTTCAATGAATTTAATTTAGGATATTCATTTTACAGCATTTTGTGACACGATGCAACAAATAATGTCAATACCATCAGTGTAGTGCAGAAATTTGGAACAAATCTTTTTCATTCTTGGCGTTTGTTTACATTTTTTTTTGAAGCACCAGCTGGGCAATGTGGGCCATGTGTAACAGAAAGTTTAGTTAATCACAAGAACTTGCATAAAGGTCACTTTATTATACTTCGATGCACTGACTCATACAAGGCCTTTGTGTTTGTTATATTTAGCAGGAAACGAGCTCTTATGATATCTAGATGTGGTAATTTTTCTATTTTTTGTCTTTACCGCCCCGTTCAGAGCAGCAGGAGGGAACGGTGGGCGATCATTTGACAGATGGATTTTTAAATGCCGTGAATAATCATCACAGACGCCTTTGTGTCCTCCATTTATTTATTTATTTATTTATTTTTCGTCTCTTTTTTTTACTGGCTGTCACAGAGATGAGTGGGTTGGCTCCATCATATCGTCGGCCTCCATTGCACAACTTTGGCGAGGCAGCCGCTCTCCCCACCAGCCATTGTTGTCCTTTCTATTGACTATCAAAAGCTGTTGTTCGAAGCAATTCTGTTTTCAGCGGCGGGCCAAGCACAGAGCGTTACAACACTTGGCTTTGTCAGAGAACAGTGCGCCATTTACTCATTCCTCGTGTTTGTAAACCCACCGTTGTGGTCCTGTCACCCATCTAAATGTGTCTGCAGGAACGCCTGAATAAAGGAATAGGAGAAACTTACCAACCTCTTTAACAAGCTTTATTTAATCCTCCAAAGGGACTACATATCTTAAAGTCAAGTGTGGGATATTAACTCAAAAAGGAACCTTCGGTTTATCTGATCAATTCCAAATCACCATATTTGTGCTTGGTTTCATTGGATAGCTACAATATGTCTAGTATGTCTAGACTAGTATTCCATTCTTTGATTGATTAATTGTATACTGTGAAAGGTCCTGAGGAAGTCAAACTCTCTAATATAATCTCTAATATGTCAAAAGAAAGAAGCAAAAACTTCATCATCTTGTGACCCCCTCAGGTTCACCTTGTGAGTGTTAGGGGGTCCTAAACCCCGGTTTGGAAACGACCATTTTAAACAATGCTCCTGTCCCTATCTCAATAGAATGTGTAATAATCTGTTTGTCTTTAGGCCTGCAACTATTATTTATTATCTCCACTAATAGAACCTAAATACTCAATAAGGCTGTTTTGTGCCACTGACAGTCGAAAACCTTCAATTTGCTATTGTAGAAGACACACCAGCAAATATTCACATTTGAGAAGCTTAAACAGGTGTTTTTTTGTTTTTGTTTTTCTTAAAAATGGACTTGAATGCAGAAGTCTCATTACCCTTCTCTGCAGGTTCATTTTGATGAGGATTAGAAGCAATCTATTCAAAGCTGTGATTCAGTTTTCTGGTTCGTACAAGGAAATCAAGGAGGATCTGGGATGGTCTTTCTTGTAGTTGAAATGTATTTTATTTTGAAACAAAAGCCCTCATTGGCTTTCATGATGAAATCACAGCTCTCCAGCCGTCCCTCTGGATTATTTTTGGTCTCTGGACAGTTTCCACGGCTCTGTCTGTGCTGATAAAGGCCGGCTGGTGTTTATCCATCAGAGCTTCCTTCCAGTCAGAGCCAGCAGGTGGCGCTGTGGCAGTGTTTGTTTCCAGCCCCTCTCTCTCTCTCTCTCTCTCTCTCTCTCTCCCTCCCCCTCCCTCTGTGTCTCACAGCATTGACTGGCAGATGCAGATGCGAGGCGCTGCTCAGCAGAATATCAATGTTGACTTCACAGGAGGAGCGGTAGATTTGGCGAGCCAGCCTCGTGTTCACTATTGAACTGTGTTTTCCCAAAAAGCCCCGCTGCTGCACGGGAGCCAGGGGCCACTCCATGTCAGAATAAGCTTCCTCTCCAAGAAACAGTGATGTTATAACTGAAAATGGGAGCAGAGGGAAATGGGTGGTGGTTTTCACACTTCTCAGACACAGCCTGAGAATCCAATGGCAGAGGCCTCTAACCAGTCTAGTCATGTTGTTAACCTCTCCGTAGGGAAATGGAGACTTATGTTCAAACACTCTAAGGTCAGAAATGGTTCACTGATTTGCTCTTTTGTTGACTTTTCACAGCTGGACATTTTATGCAACGAGGAAATCTTGGGAAAGGACCACACTTTGAAATTTGTTGTTGTGACAAGATGGAGATTTAAGGTGAGTTGTGCTTCAAAAAGACCAACATTGTGGTATAATGTGGTGATAGGTTGGTATGTTGATATTTACAGACAGTTTGGTCCTTAATTTAAATGAGTCTGTTTTTAGGCTAAAATGGCCTCTCTGGTGTGTTTTATCAGCTGTAGCTAGCTAACCAGCTAATCAATGCTAGGTTAGTTATGCATAAGTTGGCTGAAAACGTCATTTGGCAGAGTTTAATGTTTCCAGCTGACTTATCAAAATGCAGGAGACAATGCTAACTCAGTGCCCCCCAAAAAAAACTACATTTCCCAGGCAGAAAGTCCGTCAATGTCACACGGAAATAATGTAGCAGCAGCACTAGTGAGCTGAACACCATTTAGATTTTACTATATACATACGTAAGGAGTTACTACATCACTTTTGAACTATGTTTTAATGAAAAAGTCAAGTGTTGAGTTTCACTAATGCCTGCTAATGTCGACCGAAGCTCTGATATAGAAGCATCCAGCACCAGAGCTCCTCTGTAGTGGACGTGGCTAACTTTACAGATTAACACTGTTTCCTATGTTGTAAGCTAGTTAGCCAGACATGCTACCGTCAGTAACATCGATTCCTTACACTTTCCCACATATTTTTGGTTTTGGAAGGTTGAATAAAAGACAAGCTTGCGTAGGTAGAGTCGATAAGCTAATTGCTGCCAACGGCGTATTAAGGGCTTTAACAGAACCTGCTCATACTGAGGTTATGTTTTTGTTTTTCCCTCCAGAAATCCCCCCTCCTGCTCCATTACAGACCCAAGATGGATCTGCTGTAGCTATAACGGACACAACGGTTGTTTTTTGTTTTTGTTGTTTTTTTATTTTTTGGCCCAGTGGCCGCAGACTGTGCCGAAACCTTTTTATTTATGCAAAGACGATCAACCAACACCAAGCAAACACCCGACGGTAAAAGTCAACACAAGCCAGCAAATCGGGATCTAAAGAGGGCGGGCGGGGAGGGCAAATACAACAAAAACTGGCAACCTCCAGCACAGATACTGCAACACTGGTGTGTTTTTAGGAACTAAAACAACCATTTTTTGTCCGCTACATCCTAGATATGTGAACAAAAAAAAAAAAGAACAAAAAAATGGAGAGAAAGCATATATTTATACTTTTGTACAGAAGAGACACATGGAACCAAGACACTACTGGTGCTCTGTTTACACGCAAACAAGATGTCGGGAATCACGTGACCGTCTTTTTGAGCTTCGTGCAGATTTCATCCTCCTGAGACTGAGAGGAGAGGAGGGCATTTTTTATAACAGGTGTTTTTTCTTTCCTCTTTTCACAATACACTCGACACATCTTGGGAGCACAGAAAGTATATGGAAAAAGTTATATAACAGGCATCAATTTTAAGCTGTTTATCAAGTAAATTGTCTCTGAATCTTTTTTTTATTTTCATTTTGTTGGCTTTGTCTAATTTGCTATTGGGTTCTTGATGATTGTCAATTGTGAATAGGCTAAAATGTTTTGTGTAGTAATTTATGTTCTATATACCAATATTGTACATAAAATGTCATTACAGAGAGAGATTGAAGAGAGTAAGAGAGACTTTAGACTGTTAAAAAAAAAAGAGTGGATCCCAGAAGTGCTAGCTATATTTTGGGGGGCGATAAGTGTCCGGAGGTGATAAATTAGGATTTTTAAAAGACAGACTCAGTATCAGTATCAAAATATATAAATGCATCTTTATGTTGTCTGAGACAGACACAAAACAGATATATCAAATCCTCTGCCATTTGTGTGTGTGTGGGGTCTTAGTATGTTACATTGCTCTCATAGCATTACTTTAGGGCTGGTAAGAAGAAAGCTTCAACCACCCCCTCCCAACTCCATGCTCCTCGTCTGACCTGGAATACAGCTATCCTTTTTTTCCTTTTTTTTGTTTTTTGGACGTCATTATCAACCAATTCTGTCTCAACAATAATGCTCCACAAAAACAGTCATGTTCAGAAATGCCTGCATGACATAACATAATGCAATATTTGGGCAGAGAACTTGTTCATTTTTAGTGATTTTAATCTTGTTTTCACACCATGCAGTCCTTAATATCCATCCTTGTGTTTCTGCAGCAGCACCAGGCAGGCAAATACTGATACACCCACATGTTTACAGCTCTTGGGTCGTGCTGCTAGCAGCAGATGTTGCTGGCACTATTAAACACATTGCATTTCAGTTTGCTCACATTTTACTGCAAAACTCAGAGCTGTAATAGACATGATTTTTGCAACACACCAGTCTCACTTGTCTTAACAGCGGGGATGCAACAGAGTAGAGTACCTTATTTTGTTTGAACAAATTAAATTCTGGTGATTAGTGCGGACATTTGCTCGCCCACTGAATCTCTCATTTAAGAGCAAAATATAAAGCGTCTGGTAGATTGTAAGCTTTCTCTTCAGAGCAGGACTTCGTCAGTAAGAAGCACCACAGGCAGGCCGGTTTGATGAGCATGAGTACAGATTACTGACGTCACATCGTTGTGTTTGTGGGGTATTTTTCAGTTTCTTCTCACTGCCAGTTGGAGTTGCAAATGTGCAGAGCTGCACAGTGTTTCAGAGAGTCAATTTAAGAACATTTTTGAAAGTTGAGTGAATATAGCTTTTTCCACAAAATCTGTATAAAACTTGGAATTTTTTGCAGGATAGCTAGTGTTCAATATTGTTGACTTCACAAGACACAAATTTTGGAGAAATAACTTACATTCAGGTTTCGCACAGGTTTTTCGAACATTTTGATAATGTAATTCTGGATAAAATGACTACTGATCGGTCATTTGGTGCTTACAAATGTGTGTTTTAATCTTGAGGAGGATTGTTCCTCAGGAACATGCTGTTCTTACTGTAACTGTGTGACACAGCAAACCAATGTTCTGTTTAACAACGAAATGTCTTAACTCGCAACATTCAAAGCTAAACTGTCTTTAACCCTCCCACAACTGGACCCCTAAACGCCGTGTCAGACCTCAAGTAGTATTACCTCACTGACCTGTCTCATCAGTAATTAAAGGACAGTTATTTACCCTTTGCATTGTACCTGCCCACAACAAGCTGTTTTGTCTGTATGTTCACATGCAGGGTTCCTATCCATCGGTAGGTTCCACCAGTCTGAAAGCTCTGAAAACACAAACTCTGATCCATCCATGATATACACATATGTTGGAACTGCTCTGATCATTCCCAGTATTGTGGAAAGTGCAGTTTTGGATAGTCTCGAGGCAAAGTCAGTTAGCTCATCTATTGTCATCGATAGATACACAATGCTGGATCATAGATGTTGATAATTTGGGATTTGGAAATGGAAAAATGTATAGGAACCCTGCCACATAAGGACCTATGACGTGTGTATTAAACGTTTTTATAGCCTACAGGTCTGTACCTAACCAGCTCAACCAAAACTCCTCCTGCAGTCTTTAATATTACTTCTCTTGGTAACTTTTATGTTTCAAGGACATTCATCCAGTCACATATGTAAATTGTTCATTGTTCTTGGTTTTTAGTTTTCATACCAATTCTCCTACCTAAAATCCTAACAGACAGTATGGGTTTTAATAAAAGGTTAAAAGGAAGATGGCCTCCTGTTTGCCTGGAGTCAGTACGCGATTGGTTCCGACCTGCACCAGGTGCTTGGAGGTGTACCTGTTTCAAGGCTGGGTGAAACATTCTGTAAACACTCATTGTAAACTCTTGCAACAACTTTTTGATGAGACAAAACTTCAGAAATTTAAGCTGATAAAAATGATTAAAAACCAAAAACAATGAGCCTTACCAGCTTGTCAGCTCATGAAAGAGTACTGTGTTAGAAAATCCCCACAGGAATCATGTAATAATTGTCTCCATTATCTCTGTGCAAGTGCAGACTTGGTGTGTTAAAGGCGTATACACAGGCTGTTGTATAAAAATGAGGCTAATGTAATTATCCAGTGTTCAGAGACGTCAGTGATCTGGTTTGCATGTTGATGTTGAGAAATGCTGTTAAACATCGGGGATGGCGGATACCATGTTCCATGTTATTTTGTAACTTCTGTAAAGTCTTTGCTCCTCACGTCACCCAACCAGAGTCGTTGTCATGTTCAAAGTGTCGCCACCTCCTGGTTCTCCTGGTTCTCCTGTAAGAATTCAGTCTGTTTATGATAAATGTGCATAAGCTTTTTCCTCAGGTGATAAAGCTGTAACCCCCACCACGAAGGTGCTACTGTAATGGTGACTACAAACAGAAATAGTTTTTATCAACACACTCATTTCTGTATATGCAGAACACTGCATACACTGCTCTGTACTGTTTAGGATTGGCATTGAAACAAAGGTTTCATAACTTCATTTTTTTTAAACTTTTTTTGTTTGATGTGCTTGCGTTCACACTGCAGCTTTGTACTACAGTTTTCCCCTCACATCAGATGAAAACATTTTGTCTTCTTAATTTAGATCTTGACCATGTTGATCTTTAGTAGTGTTACAGGAGGGGTCTCACGTTTGAAGGAACAGATCCCCACGTAACAGCTAGTGTTTTACTTGCTCTGAACGCAACTCGAAGCAAATTTTACACTTCAGTTTTATGCGCACAACTACAGTGATTGTGTAATAGGTCCCAGGTGCTACACAATGTGGGCGACCTACACTCAATTCTGGGCCTGAATGCATCCTATGTAGAGCACTGACGCTGCTTCTGCTCTGTAGATGTACTGCTTTCACAGCGCTGGCTGTGTAGACACAAGGCTTGCGACTTAATTGAACGTTGTAATCTCGAACCGTCACCTATGGAAACTGTCTCGATTTGTCATAAGTGTCACCATGTAGGACAAAAACACAACACAGTGGAAATGAGACCAAACAGAATCTCATGTGCAAGGTCTAAAACTAGTAACTGATGACAGCATGAATGTTTTACCTACGTGGTGATGTTCTGTGGAACTGTCTATTTTACAGCTTGCAGGTTCCTGTGTTCTTGTTACATCACACAATAGACAAATATACACAAAATTCTAATGTGTGGATGTTAACACAAAAGGCTGCAGTGTGAACAAAGCCTTTCACTTCGTCCCTTTGTACTGAGTATTGTTCCAAGAGCCCTGTGATCTATGTGACGGATGGGGAACCTGATGGAACTGTTGGGGTCTTTGCCACAGTGACGGTCAGAAATGCTCTGTCTCTGCCGCTGTGCTCTCTATGGTGCTAACAACTCCTTGTTTCAAACTTCAGAAGTTTTCAAGAAAGATTCAGTCAGAGACAGAAAAGCACTGTGCCGCGAAGTTCTCCTGTCGGCCTTTTCCCCCAAACGTCCTTGCACTGTACTCTGGTTGTCTACTCTTGTCGGAGCTGTCTCGCTGTGCAGATAAAGAAGGTGCTGGCTTTTTCTGTTTCTTTTTCATTGGTTTGTTGGCGGGGCTTGCTCTGGAAAGCAAATTTAAATAAATCATAGACTGTGACGGGGCTGATGCTGTGAAAAATAAAAGAAAACTGGTGAGAAATTGGGTGTGCCAGCTGCAATTTCCTGCCTCAAAGAGAAACTCACACTTATTATAGGCTTCTCTGGTGAGATGTGTGGGCCTCCTCAGAGTCAGATTGAGCCTCCATCTCTAACAGTGTATGACTTACAGTTGATTTTTGTTTTAGTATTCCCAAAGTTCTCACAAGCTATAGGGAGTTTTGACCTTCTCGGCATCTGTGTGTGTGTGTGAGTGTGAGAGAGAGAGAATGTTGCATCTGCCACCTCCCCTGCACCAGAATGGATCGATGTTCATGCTTTTTATCGGCACCAACATTGAGACATCAGTGCGGCTATGCTTGACAGGTGAGCTAAGAGGCTTACAGGAGGCTCGACTCTGCCTGGCTGCAGATAGGGCTCCGTATCGGCTCCAAAAGGTCTCCGGCACGGAGGGGAGGCCCGCGATCTGTCAGAGCTCCAGCTCTCGGCCTCATCTTCTCCACTTCAACCTTGAACGCCTGTCATGCTGCTTGTTAACTCCTGCTAGGATCTGTGGGTGAGCGGGGGTGGGAGATTTCCATTCGAGGTGGTTTCACAACTTCACATGGACTCTCCGTACCAGTACCTACCACCATGATGTGAAGACAAGTAAACAATTTATTCGGGCTGCTTTGTATGCGCTTACTGAGCTCGTCTCAGAAGCTCTACATTCATTTCTAGCTTGTTGGCAGCAGAATCATTGCTGGCAACTTAAAATATCTCTTCTTTGTTCAGTCCACTCATACATAAGTGTCCACTCGGGGAGTGTGATAACTTTCTTTGTTGCCCAGCTCACTGTTTCTCCCTCATTTCTGAGTCCTCTCTAAAACTCAGTAATCTCACCGGCAGGCTTTGTGTGTGACGGCGAGGGAGACCTCAAGGGTCACTCAGATGACTGCACGGACTGAAACACACTCCAAAAAAAAAAAATATATTGTCTGGTCGGAGTGGCCATGCACTGCTGCAGCTGCTGCCTGCTCTAAAAGGCTGCTCCACTCTGAAAAGCGCCATGCTTAAGTGCACTGAATCACGTCGCCATGGGTGGTGCGGTTTGAAAAGCAAAAGACTGGTTAAATTATGGATTGTTTTACCACTTCAGGGTCGTGGCTGTTGCTTTTAGAGATTGTTCACTGGTGGCGGGATCAGCAAAGTCCTCTTTTCAAAGACGCAGTAGTTGAAAACCACCCCCTTTGTTGTTTATGTATGAGTGTCAGATTGAGACTGCTGGTTTCAGTAATTCCCAAATAAAGTGGGAAATCGGTCCACAGCTATCAACCTCACAGTGGCATGCCCCGATGAGCCATAGCAGATGTCATCGATAAATCTGTCCAGTTTTTTTTTATTTATTTATGCTGAAAAAGTGACTTCTGCAGTAGTTTCTTGGTTATTGAATTTTTTGAGAAGAGATTTGCTCTCCTTTTTTGCTCACAAATTTTGTATTTCTCTTTTTTTGTGAAACCTATATTGAACTCATGCATAAAATGGCTTAAATTATGAATTTTGCAATTGAATTCCCTTTTTTTTGTATTATTCAAAGTGTGTTAATGTCTACGCAATGCTCTGTCTGTGTATAACAAACACATAGGTGTCTTCTTTTTTAGGTCAAGCAAAAACAACAAAAAAAACAACAAAAATAAATTGTGTGAATCTGGCAATGTGGTTATTGTATTTGCAAGGAAAATGTGCAATACACGGTTCTCAGATGGTTCCAGGTTTCAGCATAGAACTCCAATATTTAATTTTTTAACAGTTTTTTTTCTTTTTTCCAGTCAGTTCCTCAGGTCACTAAATGCCTTCTGGTCCTGAGGGTGACCAGGAAATCTCAGAACATACACTAATGCACCCGAAATACAAAACGACTGGATTATATTTTAGTCTTGTCTCTCTCTCTTTTCTTTCCTCCCCGTTTTTGTCTGTGACAGTTTTCTCAGACTTTGGTTGTTTGTTTTCAGGTTAACACAGGCACTTGTTCAGGTGTCCTTTTCCTTGCCTCCTTTTGTATTATTGTTATTTATTGCACATGTAATGAAATGGTTTCCATTGCCACATTAAATTCAAGGAGTTTTGGGTCTAGAATGGGGCTGGAATTTCTTACGTACAAAACTACAGAAGCTTTTGTCAAAACCTAAGTGTGTATTTCATCAATAAATGCCTTTAAAAGTGCTCCTGGTGCTGACTTTTTGTCCCCCCAACTTCCAGGTGTAACCTCTTCAACTCTGTGCTGACAAACGTCTGTGGCTAGAATTAGTCTTTCAAAGGCGGTAGGCTCAGTCTTAAAGCTAGAGTTAATATACTGTACTATATAAAACTATTAGTCCTAAGGCATTCGTTGGTACCAACCATATCATGCTTGCTTGTCGGGAAGTGTTAAATAACACTCGAAATGTAGGCAAAAAAAAAACTATTCTGAACTGTTACTAAAATCACATTTGTGAGTTTTGTTTTCCCAGTTGCACTCTGAAGAGTTTGCATTTGTCTAAGAAGAGAAGGCTGGTTTAGTATTGGAACGTGAAACTTAAATATAAGTAATTTATAAGGAAATACAAAACTGTCAATACTCACATGTTCATAGCAGTCGTTTCCCACCTTCAAAGCTTCCAGAGTCTGGTTAAATCGCTTATCGTCACCTTCACATTCTGTTCTGGCCCGTTCCAGCTCTTTTATTGAGTGCTCCATGGCTGCACTATGGCATGTTTCCTGAGAAAGACACAAGCAATCCTTTGGGTCACACTTCCAGTGATGAAAATCATAAAAATGAAAAGTTGTGATCAATTGATATTTACATTGGTTTTAATTGCTGATTGCAGATGTTGGTGATATGGTTAGATTTACTGTCAGATA